CAGCAGCTCCCCACAGCCCTGGCCCTCCCTGGGAGAGGTGGTAACAGCTTCCCTCTGTTGCTGGTCCCTGGGAGCCTTACCCCCGGTTTGTGTTCTCAGTACGTAGTCCCTTCTCTTAAGCCCCATCATTTGAAACAAATGGTGTAGATTCTCCTTCCTGCCTAGACCTTGTCTAAACTACCAACTTCACCTTCGTGGGTGCAGTTTGCCAATAGGGTGGTTCCTCTAGTTCTGTGGATCTTCCTCTGTGCTGCGTGTGGGGGTCACCTAGGGAACTCTAGCACCTACTGCTGCCTGGGTTTCCTCTCCAGAGGTCTGATGTAATTCGTCGGGGAGTGGCTTGAGCATCAGTGTTTTAAAAATCTCTCCAGATTATTCTATCATACAGCCAACGTTGAGAAGTACTGCTTCTGGCTCATACACATGCACGAAGAGAATTTCAGCACAAAATAAAAACTCAACTTCATAGAACCCATTGTGTTTTATTTTTTAAATTTTCTTACAAATTATTGCCATCTTCGGTGTAAAGTTGTTTTCTACTCTTCTATTCATAAAAACATTTTGTAAACAAAATAGAACAAGTTTAAACACATTTACATAACAGTTTCTTCAAGAGGCTGAAAACAAAGAACAGATGTTTCTGGAAAGCATAGAAATTCTCTATATGTACTTTTTTTTTTGATAGGGTGTGTGCGAGGGTAAGTTTTGCAGAAGGGTAGAAAGAGAATCAAAAAGCCATTGGGGGACATTACAAGAAAAAAAAATTGCAGGATCATTATCTTTGTTGAAAAACTACTCTCTTTGAAACACAATAACAGAGGGACCAGCACCCTGTAATTAACGCAAGTCAGGTGCATGGCTGGTCTGGTCTTGCCAATCTGCTCTGGGAAGGAACCCGATTAGAGCAATTATTCACGGCGTCTGGCACAGCAAAATAAGCAGTGGCTACTGGCCTCATGAGAACCTTTTAAGTGTTGAATTTTTAAAATACCTTCACCATTTTGCAGGTTTTAAAATACATAAGAACTTCAATCACACTCTCTTAGTTTAAAACACGATCATTTTTTAAAGACTTACACATTTGTTGGTGGTGATAAGACTTCATATTTTTAAGAGAAAGAACTGATTCTACAAAGACTTTCATCTCATTTCGAGGGGTCCAGGGGATATTGCATTTAAATTGATACTGTGCCCATGATCAGTTAGCTATTGCTACATTAACCTCAGTGGCACGCCACACAAGGCATTTATGTCTCACTCACAGTGTGGGTCGCCAGGGCAGGTCAGCTGCATGGCCCTCCCACAGTGGCAGTCCAGTTTTTGTCTGCTAACATTCCACAGGCCAAAGGAAGCCCCGTGGCCGCACTCGCAGTCAAGGGCTGGGGAAATACATTCCATCTTTAGTAGGAGGGACTGCAGGCAACGTGGCCAAGGGTGTGGATACAGGGAGAGACGAAGAATTGTGGCCAAGAATTCAATTTACCACGGTGCCTAAAGTAAAAGTCTGTTAGGATTGCATCTCATTACTGTATTTGCACGTAGAATTCCTGTCCCTACAGTGGCCAGTCGCTGACAAGTTCTAGAACCCTATATGTAGGATGACGATCTTGTTCCAGACAGACCGCAGCACTCATCCATAGGCTGTCTGCCCCAGGGCAAGGGAGGTGATAATTGGCTTTTCTTGGCTGTCCTGCCCCCAGAATACCAAAACTATCTCCACAGAAGTAATCAGGAGTTTGAGAGGAGGAGGAAAGGATTGAATAGGTGGAGCCCGGAGGAGTTTCAGGGCAGTGACACTACTCTGTATGATACCGTAAGGGTGGATATATGACAGTAGGCTTTTGTCAAAACCCACAGAACTCTACAGCACAAAGAGTGAAACTTAATGTATGAGAATTTTTTAAAAAATCATTTAGGAAGTCAGGGATCCCATTTGGGACTCCCAGGGTGTGGAGGTGGGTAAAAAAACTTAAGATGCATCCACAGACATGTCTCCAGTGGCTGAAAACTCTGGTCCTGCACAAAACTTTGCTACCAGATCTAGACGAGGAGGATGAGCATACAACCCAGCTATGTTCATGAGCGAGTGATCCACAACGTGAATCAACAGAAATGTATTGCCTAGTCTGGAATGCAATACCTAGAATAGGAGAGTCCGTGCTATCAGAAATGCAGGGGCACTCCGGCCATGACCTGCCTCTTGTCTCCTGACCTCTTGTGTGACTGTCCCTCTGCATCTTGTCCCTGGCCAACTCGCTGTGCCTCAGCTACTCCACCTTCTGCCGGTGCCTAGTACACTTCAAGATCGTTCCAGCTTGAAGGCCCTTGTCTTGCTCTTCCCCAAGCCTGGAAAGCCATCGCCCCATCTCTTCACGTGCCTGGCTCCTTCTCCTCTGGTAGTTTCAGCTTCAATGAAGCTTCTTTGGTGGGAGGCTTCTGGCTCTTCCTCCCTTTAGAGTGGAAGCTCCATGCCTATCTTTCACTAGTGCATTGTTTCTATCACATGAAGCACTGCCTGGCACATAATAGGTGCTCATTAAATATTTATTGAATGAATGGGCTACTCATTCACTAATATTTGGCTCAGCACCCCAAGGGAGTATGGACCTCTGCTTTGGAATGGGTGCTGCGAAGTCAGCAAGTCCTACACCACATACGCTAAACTAGGAGAGAATCCATGCAATGTTCCTGATTGGCTACTGCACCAGTCCCAAAAGCAGCTTGATGCTCAAGTGCTGGCCAAAAACTGCAAAGAAAAGGGGGTAAACCCCAGCTAATAAGTAGAAAACTACACCTGTCTCGATGAGGAGAGTTTGGGATATTACTACTGGGGTATAAAATGGAAGCAGAAAGTATGACAGGTCCAAACAAGTGATCCATTAAAAAAAAAAAAAAATTTGCTGCTGATGGAAACTTAGAGGGCGAGCTGCCTCTCCACACAGGTCCTGCTCGCTGGCGGTTGTTATTCAGGACAAGAAGAAGAGAAGAGGTGTCTCCACAGAATTTCCTGGGAGACAGAGATGGGGAAAGACAGAGTGAAGAAGGGGCATTTGACAGAATGGCCATGGAACCAGCCTTTTCACACGGATTAGATGGAGGACTGAAAAGCCTGTTTTTGCCTACACACACTCAGGTCTCTCTCCAGCCTCATAACAACCTAACTGAGCACTAGTGAGGGGCTCTGGGGTGTGTCTGAAGCTGAATATTCTCTAGCAATTGGAGTGGGTGCAAGGCTGTTTTCTCCTTGAACCCTGGTGTTATGCTGGAGCAGTTGGCTCAGGGCCATGGGAGAACGCTGTCTCTGCTGGAGCCCACAGCAAAGAGCTCAGACTTGAAGGTTTCCTGCTGGGCCCCAGACTGGCAAATGTGGGAAGATTCCTTCTAACAGGGCCACAGCTGTTCACTCGTTGCTTGTGGTTCTTGGAGGATCTGCCCAAGTCTGATGACCCTAGAAAACCAGGGGTGGGGAGGGGCAAGGGCCATAGGGGGATAAACTCATCCCAATCTGTGCAGCTGAGAAACAGGCATCTCTCTCCTGCTTGGGGAGGCCAGGGGCAGGATGGGACTCTTACCTGTATGCCAGCAGGTAAGCACACCTCTTCTCTGTTGGCCCAGCTTCTTTACTGCTCATCCGCTAAACAGAATGGGCCATCCTTCCCCTGAAGCTCATTTTCCTTGGTGCAAGACACCCCAGTGAACTGACCTAACCTGAGGGCGCAGATAACCCATGTTGTCCATGTATGCACACTCTGTAAGCTAAGTGAGAAGACCAAAGCCAACGGCTAGGAAAGGCAGCTCTAATGAAGGCAGAGTCTGTGGAGAAGGTAAAGAGTATGTTCAACCTGACGAAAATAACTCTCAAGGAGATTCAATTATAGAGAACAAATAAGGCTTTCTAAGATTTAAGCTAAAATAAAACATGATGCTTGAATTTACAAATACAGTAAAGAGAATGGCTACTTTTGAGAACCAAACTTATGTTCTGAGTGAGCAAAAGGAAGAAATTTCATACAACAGAGATCAAAAACATTAAAGAATGGAAACTATAAACAAAAAAGGGCAATCCGGGAGCCTCTGATGCAAGTGATAGCTAAGGAGAGAAAGTAACACAGAAAATAACATAAAGAAAAGTAATACTTAAAAAAAATAGGTGAAATAAAAGAAATTTTCTAAAGCTAAAGAGAGATCTCACATAAAACTAACATAGCCTAAAAAAACAAACTGAAATATTCCAGATGTAAAGAGACAATCTTATAAGCTTTTGGGGAAAACAGGTCACTTATAGTGGTAATAAAATCAGACAAAATGATACTCTAAACCAGAAGACAACCGGAGCAATGACTATGGACTACTGAGAAAATAAGACCATGATCCAATAGTTCTATACCTAGCTGAGATATCATCACATAATCAAAAGAATATATAGATAACAAAAATCTCAGAAATACAAAGAAAAATT